ACACACACACACACACACACACACACACACACACACACACACACACAGGGCTACTTTAAAAGGAGCGCTCGTCAGGTGTGGTGGTGCAGGGCACATGCCTTTAGTCCCAGGGCTTGGGAGGCAGAGGTGAGTTCAGGCTTTCTCAGAAGCCTGTAAAACAGAGCATCAGATCCCCTGGAGCTCAAGTTACAGGTGGCTGTGAGCTTCCCTATGTGAATTCTTGGAATCAAATCTGGATCCTCTTAAGAACAGCAAGTGCTCTTAGCCACCAAGCTGTCTCTCCAGCTCCCAGGCTGTACATCTTTAATATATACACTTTGTACTTGTCAGTTACACACAGCCCAATAAAGCTAGAGGGGAGGCAGGGACAAGAACAAGTTAGTTTCCTCGTTCAAGGGACAGCCTGGGCATTCCATGAGACCTACCCTCAAGAAGGCCACAGTCTTCCTTTTGTTCAACAAATACTCCCAATACAGCAAATAAGGAGGTGAGAATGAGGAAAGGTAAGTGCGGGCCAAACAAAGAGAAAACCAAAGCAAATAGAAGTGAAGAATAAAAAGTGCTGCAGAGATGGCTCAGCCAGTAAGAGCTGCTCTGGCAAGAGAGGCCAAGTCGAGGGCCTGGCGCTCATGCCCAGCAGCTCACAACTGCCTGAAACTCCAGCTCTACGCTTCTGGCCTCTGTGGGAACCTCTATTCACATACACATGAATACACACAGAGAGACACCGACACACACACTGGGCACAGAAAAGGGGTTGGGCACACAGGTTGGGAGAGGAGCCTTCCCAGACCTCAGAAATGTTTTTATGAAAGGCTCCTCGATCCCAGATTCAAATGGATAACTGATCAGACTAGAGTAGGCAAGAAATCCTGAAAGAGGCTCTGGAGACAAAATCCAGTGAGATCCCGCAGGTCCTGAAAACAGGTACATTTCACAGGAAAAGAAGCTGAGACAGGGCAAGGTAAGGCCCTGAGCTCTGCAGTGTTAGGTCTCAAACCCGAGACAACTGGCTAACTGAGGTGCCCATTTAACACACCAGAGAGGACCTGGCTGCCAGGCTCTCCCAGCATCCCTCAGTTCAGGGTACGGCTGGCATTCCCGTCCCCTACTCTAAACTTCTCCAGCCTAGGGTCTGGGTTTCCTATATAAATCCAGCCGCTTTGGTTACCAAGCCCATTCCCCTTTTGGCTACCCTTTCCTCTCCTGTCTCCCTCTCCTCACCTGACTCAGGGTCATGTCCTCTCTGGACTCTCCCAGATGTCCCTGCCTCAGGCTATGCTCTCCCTCAGAGCTACAGCAGACTTTCTCCTCTACCACACCTAGGGGCAGCCCATCCATCTTTTCTTTCTTTCTTTCTTTCTTTCTTTTCTTCTTTCTTTCTTTCTTTCTTTCTTTCTTTCTTTCTTTCTTCCTTCCTTCCTTCCTTCCTTCCTTCTTTCCTTCCTTTCTTTCTTTCTTTCATTTTGATTTTTCATTCATGCAGACAAAGAGAAAAGTCAAGATTTATAAGAAACAGGGTTGGGAAGATGATGCATCAGCGAAGAGTACTGGCTGCTCTTACCAAAGACCCAGGTTTGGTTCCCAGCACTCATAGTGGCTCACAACTGTCTGCAGCTGTAGTTCTGGGAGATCTGACACCCTCCTCTGGCTTCACAGACACCAGGCACACATGTGGCATACAGACTGACAGACACATAATAACACACACAAAACACATATACACACAAAATAATACACATTTAAAATAAATAACTCTTTTAAAAAATAAGACTTGTAGGGAAAGCTGGACTCTTCCCATTCAGGGTCGTCTATTACAGCAAAGCTGCTGCTGCCCAGGAAGGCCGACACTGAGAGGAAGGAAAGCAGTCTTTGGCACTTATCCTCAAGCAATTTTTAATAGTTTGAGAACAAAGAGGGGGTCTCCCTGGGTTGCCTTACTGCGGCTCAAGGGTCTTTTGGCCTCAGTTCCTGAGTAGTTAGGACTACAGACCTTGCCACACTGGCCTGAGAACAAAGACTCTTTATCAATTTTAATTACCTTCTAACTGTTTAATGGATTGCCATTAACACTGCAAACTAGTTTTTGAAGAAGAATGAAGGGAAGCCAACACACTCTAAACGACTCACTGAGGGCCACAGCCCCTGAAGCCTGGGATGTAGGTCTGTAACAGAACAGGGTGTACGGGTCCCTCTGCTTTGAGTAGGCTAATGGCTGGCCAGGCATCCTCCTGTCTGTGTGGCTCCCGGCACTGAATTACAAGTGTGCACCACCATGCCTGGCTTTCTCATGTGAGTTCTGAGACTCAAACACAGGCCCTCGTGCTTATACAGTACACACTTTATATATATATTTTAGGATAGAGTTTTCCTATATTGCCCAGGCTGGCCCTGAACTCCTAGACTCAAGTAATCCCCGTCTCAAACTCCCAACTAGGTAGAATTATAGGTCCCCATCATCACTCCCGGCTGGTGTTTACTTTTACAGTTGGAAAAGTAAAGCCATTCTACTATGCCAAGCCCTGATCCTTGCCCTTTAAAAGGCAAGAGGGAAAAAAAAAAAAAAAGGTAGGCTGAGAAACTGTCAGGTCTTTCAAAAACCCTTTAATTGCAGCTTATTAAAAAGTGCTGTTCCCAATGAATGATGGGATCTGAAACCCCAAAACAGTCTGGAGCAGCTGTGGGAAGGGACAGCCTCCCTGGCCTGGCTACTCACATCTTAGCCTCTTTCCCCTCTTTCTTCAGGCTATCTTATCAGAGAAACAGAGAGCATGGGGCCCAAGCCCTGGCAGCCACCCTGAAGACAAATACCAGACCCACGTGGCTGACCTATAATATTGGCAAAGCACCCACTGAAACAATGCCGTAAGCAACCGAAGGCGCTGGGACCCAACACAGCGGTCACCTCAGGTCCCCCAGGACTAGACTTAGATAATAGAGCAAATGTGGGCCAGCTAAGCAAGTGCCTTCTTTATAGACTAGGCCAGCTGGTGCCTGGTGTCTTCATACCCCATACAAACTTCTTGGCCAGATTAAATCCCTTAGAATATTGGCCCAATTTGGATTCAAAATTTGGATTCTAATTCAAAATAGAGGTAGGAAAAAAACCAAACCTGTGCCAAGCCAACACAAACAAAAAAATAAATAAAAACTGAACAAGGCTCAGAACACAGGTCTAGGTCAATAGTAAAGCGCTTGCTTAGTATTAGGAAATACTAAAGCTCTAAAACTTAAGTCTCTGGCACCAAGCCCCACCATTCAAAAAGAAAACAAACAACAGACAAATATGGCCGACAAAGTTGGATGAAAGCGCCAGAGAGAGTGTGGTGGTACACGTCTTTAATTCAGTACTTGGAAAGCAGAGACAGGTGGATGGATGTCTGTGAGTTCCAGGCCAGTCTGATTTACGCAGAAAGTTCCATGTCTATTAAGACTACATAGTTAACAGGGGATGGTGGCACACTCCTGTAATCCCAGCACTCAGGGAGGCAGAGGCAGGAGGATCTCTGTGAGTTCAAGGCCAGCCTGGTCTACAAAGTGTGTCCAGGACAGCCAAGGCTACACAGAGAAGCCCTGTCTCGAAAAAGAAAAAAAAACTACATAGTGAAAGCCTGTCTTAAAACAAAAACAAACATCAGTGAATGTATGTGGACAGAGAGGACTTTTCAGCTAACTTGGGGGAACTCAAACTTGGAAGTGTAGAACATCTGTTTTGGAAGTCAGGATGCTTCTGGCCCAGTGACCAAGACATGCATCCACCTGAGCTACACCACTCCCTAGCTCCCATGACCAGGCAAGATGCACAGTAAAGTCCTGAGTCATCCAAATGACTTCTGTCCATCTTCTCCATGACATTCACCCCACCCCCTGCCACACAGACTTGTATGAAGTACATCAACCCCTCCCCTTAAACCCAGAACTTCCCAACTATCTACTCTTGGAACATTCTCACATATTCTCTGTCTGCTAAAAAATCCCACCAAACCTTAATGAGCTGGGGAGAGCGAGCTGGCAATGTGGCAGCCTGAAACCAGGGTCGGTGTGCTCTTGCTCCACATCACCTCTACTTTACGGAGCCAACACGGAAGCTGCTATTTCGCAAAAAGAGGAGATAATTCCTGGAACCTCTCCCAGCTCTGGAACCAGGGAACTCAGCTGTGGCGTGATAAAGCAGGGAACACTTTAATCCTAGCGTTTGTTTTAACAGAGAGACTGTTGCCTCGAGGAGGGATAGCTGCAGCCTCCCAGATACCAAAGTTCAGAAAAGAAAAACACATTGCTCTATGTCTCTAGCCCACCAGGCAGGCACAGAAACGGAGCCAGCCTTCTCTGGGCCAACCTTTGAAGAGCCTGGCGGGCAGGAGAGAGGGTGCAGGGGTGAACAGCAGAGGCTTCCAGTTCAGTTCCCATATCAGGTAGCTCACAAGCACCGGTAACTTCACCTCCAAGAAGATCCAACTCCTGATTTGCTTTGTTTTGTTTTTGGAGACAGGGTTTCTCTGTGTAGCCCTGGCTGTCTTGGACTCACTTTGTAGATTGGGCTGATCTCAATCTCAGAGATCCTCCTGCCTCTGCTTCCTGAGCATCAAAATTAAAAGCGTGTGCCACCAATGCCCAGTGAAAAGCCAACTTTTCTGGCCTCCATAGGCACTTGAACTCCTTCATGTGAACATAACTACACACAACACACATATTTAAAAATAATAAAAATAGCCAAGCAGTGGCGGGGCATGCCTTTTATCCCAGCACTTGGGAGGCAGAGGCAAGCAGATCAAGTTCAAGGCCCGGCTGATCTACATACTGAGTTCCAGGACAGCCAGGGCTACACAGAGAAACCCTGTCTCAAAAAACCAAATAATAAATAATAATAATAATAATAGTAATAAAAAAATCAACTTAGCCCCACAAAGAGTCAGCAACAGACACTGAATTCTCGCTTTTCTAACTCACTGGGTGTCTGATGCAGGTAGGACTCATCAAACTCCCCTATGGGAAGAAGAGAGAGACCCTGAAGAGTTCCTCTCACATATTCAAGGGTACTGAGTTACCACACTCCTATGGAGAGACAGCTACCTGGTGACTGGGAACAAAATCAAGAAACCCTTCCATCCATCCACATTCTGAGTCAGAACAATCTGGCAACGTTTTCTTTTCTTTTCTTTTTGTAAAAGTTTTCCTGAGACAGTGTTTCACTGTGTAACCCCTGCTGTCCTGGAACTCACTCTACAGACCAAGCTGGCCTCAAACTTGGAGATCTGCCTGTCTCAGCAGTTAGGATTAAAGGCCTGCTCTATTACCACCTGACTAACATTTTCTTAATAATCTCAGGACTGTTTCCTTTCCAAGTTCCCTCTTGTCTCTTCCAAATCCCTCCCAGGTTAAAGCTCAGAACCCTACCACAGCATTGTGGTGTGTGCCTGTAAACCCCAAAACCTGGGAGGTGGAGGTAGGAGGATGTGGAGTCCATAGCCAACCTAGGCTACATAGTCACACCTTGTCCCCAGAACAAAGAACTCGGTTTCATCAAGGGCATGTCTTAGGTACAGCCGAGCCAGCCTGGTTGGGGCAGGGAGAAATCACCCCCTACCTTTTTTACAACTGTGAGTTCAAGCCAACATCCCTGCATCACCAAGAAAAAGTCTCGGGGTTACCTCATTAAGGCAATAAGGACCCAACTCTCTGACTAGAGCAGTCAAAGGTTCTCGAGGTGCAAAAAAAAAGGAATTCCGCCCATCCCTTCTCCAGAATTCCAGTCTTGTCAAGCAACTGTGGCTGGCAAAGACCCAACAGGCCTCAGCCTGAAAAAAGGGTTCGGGAACAAACCAGCCACACAACCTTTTTCCCTCCACTCTACTTAGCAGGGTTTTCCTCTCACCACCCCCCAGCCAGCCCCTTAGTCTTACTTTCTTCAAAGCACTCATTCACTGAAACGCTCATTCTATATCCGCTTGTTTTCCTCCTTCCAAGGGATCCATGAGGGTAGAACACTTAGGGAACATGCAGTGCCTGGCAGCATAGGCCGCTCAATAATTGGGCACAATTCAACAAGTGAACCGTCGAAGGCCTCACTTTGTGCCAGATGCGGAGCACTGGCGGGTGACGGGCAACAGAGGGGGCGTTCTCTCTTTCAAGCCAAAAATGGCACAATGAAGAAGCTGGAAGCCGGGGATGGAGGTCCTGCTGGAGGACCCGGGAGTGGCTTGCCACGGTTTTCCCGCCGTGAGCGCCCCCTGGCCTCGCGCCCCGCAGGCCCCGCGCTCACCCGTTGCAGCTCCATCTCGATCTCGCCGGCCTTGAGCACGATGGGTCCGCGCACAGCGTACTCCACCGCCTTCACCTGCGGGTTCATGGACTCCAAGGTGAGGATGCGGTCCCGAGGGCTGCGCTCCGGACGCACCTTGAGCGCCGCCGAGGCTTCAGCTGCAGCGCTGCTGTGACTACGGCCCCAGGGGCCCCGCCGCACCAGCACCGCCGCACGCTGCATCGCGAACCTGCCAAGGCTAACCCTGGCCCAGAAAGAACGAGAGCATGACATCGCGTACAGCCCTGGGTGGGCACCAGTCCCCCAAGAGCCCCAGGCTCTCGGCCAGCAGCGCCAGCCTAGCTCCGGGTCTAGATTCCCACCCCCTGGTTCCCGGGACCCCGCACCGCGCCGCTGCAGCACGGAGACGCTGCACCGCTGGATTGCCGGGCTGCGCCTAAGGTGCGTATGCAACGTGCCTGTCGCCGCCAGGCCGCCCGCACCGCCCGGGTTAAGGTGTGCCCCGGCAGCTCCCAAGCCCGGTGGCCAGCCACCGCATCCTGGCGCTTGGCACCCGCACCTCCTGGCTCCCTGCATTCGCACACCCACCGCCGCCGACTCCGCCTCGGACCTGCGCGCTGGCTTCTGGGTCTTGTAGTTGTCTTGGCCGTACCAACGTTGCTGTGACAGCGGGATAAACTACAAGTCCTCTAGGGCCTGGCGCAGACCGGACTGGGATGGGCAGGGGGTGTGGAGCGGTCGTCTGGGCGGTCTCTCGTGGGACAGAGAACCCCGACTTCATGGCAGCGGCTGTCCTTCCCCTGAAGCTTTTGGAATTTAGTTATTCGCTGCTTGGCTGCTTCTCCCTAGTCGAAGACCCCGCCTCCCTTCTCCCTCACCTCGCGACACCTACAGGGACGTGGACCGCGCGCGTGGTGATGCATTCTTTACCTTTAGTTTCATCATCCAGGCCATATGTTTCTGCTGGCCGCTCAGGAACAGCTGGTTAGGGAGCAGGGCCGCTGAGACTTATATGCCACCCTGTCTCCTTTCTCAGTTTCAGTGTTCTTGTCAGCAAAAGGCTGTGGGGGTTTTGTCGGAACGGACCACACACCAAGTGGTAAGGGTTTCGCAATACCAGTCTATCTGAAGTCCCATCCCACCTCTATTATTCCCATTTTATTTCTTTCTAGCCTTCCCAGCATCTAAAATTACCTCTTTTAGATACTTTTCAAGGGCTCAGAAGGACAGGAACAAAGCCTTTTTTTGCCTGATGTTTTCACAACATTTCTAACACATAGGCACTTAGTAAATATTTGTTGAACAATGAATGTACAGGACACGGTGGCAATTACTTTGGGCAAAAGTATTCAGCCAGTAGGCTCTGCCACACATGCGCTTCGCACGTGCCGAGCAAGCTTGGGACAGGACTAGGCTGGGTGTGCAACTGGGGCAAAAGTAAGAACGATAAGCCACCCAGGCTGAGCCACAAACATCTACAGAGAAGACATGGCGAAGTCACTTTCCTTCTTTCCATCCCAGACTCCTTTTCTGCAAAATAAATTGGGTCAAATGGCCTCACTTTTCCCCTGCTGTCTTGAAATTTTGTAATTCTGGGAGTTTTCAGGCAGAACAGCCCAGGGCTTGCACGGCCCCAACAAACACGTTAGGTTTGTGAAAGTTGGGGAGAGGCGAGGTTAATTAACCACCGCAGTGTAAGGGAGACAGTAGCAGGAGATCAGGGTCTGAGAATAACTGCACACAGCCACTTTGGAGTCCTCTCTGTCACCGTCCTCCCGTGTGAAATGGGCGGATCAGTACCTACCATGTGCAACTGAGGAGAAAGTTGTGGGAAAAACTTGGAAGAACTTGACTCCTGAATTTGCACATCACTCTTGTCGATCTCTTCTTAAGGCAATGCCGTATTCTTTGATCAAACAAACTGATTACTCATAAAAGAGGAATGCATCAGGGAGAACAGAAACTCCTACCTTAGTAAACTGGCCTGACTCCTCAAGTCCCTGCAAAGAAGTTATTTGGGTGGTAAAGGAGGATGCTGCTGCTGCTGATCTTCCTCCTTCTCCACCATCATTTTTCTTCTCTTAGCAGAAAAGAGATCGTTTATTAAAAGGGAGAAGCAGATAGCACAGAGTTGAGGCAGGCCACAGGGAAGGCAAGAAAATAAAAGAGGCTGTGTGGGCTTTTGTTTTTATCTTAGTGTTTTGTCTGTGCTCCATGTGGTGCAGTGCCCACGGAGGCCAGAAGAGGGCGTCGGATCCCCTGAAATTGGAGTTACAGTTACTAGTGAGTGACCATGTCCTCTAGAAGAGTAATCAGTGGTCCTAACCATTGAGCTTCCTTCTGGCCCCATGTCTGGGCTTTTAATTGAACAGCACCTCTATCAACAAGGTCTCCTTCCCAGCTTTTGTCTCTGTGCCCAGCATTTAGTCTCCAGGTTGAAGATTCTGCCAGTGGCATAGGACCTCCAAGTACTTCATTGCTTCTCAGTGTTCTGTCATCACTCACTGCGCCCAGCCAGCCACACAGACACACTCCTCCATCTTTAAAGCACACTTGAGTGATACATGATATAAATTCATCCCCTCACTGTCGTTGAGTCATTGTATTGTCATTCCAGCTATCTCTACCATAATCAGTAAGAAATAAGGGATCTAGGAAGAGGTCTTTCAGAAGTAAACTCAAGGCCATTTGTACAACTGAGAAAAAAACAGAAACAAAAACAGACAAACAAGACACAACATTCAGCATGCTGCTCAGTTACACTGGCTCCCACATCGTCATTGCAAAACACAAGTAGCTCAAGTCCCTACCATGTCCAGTGCCACTGTGTCTCTGAGATTGTGTAAGAAAGCTCCCAGGCTGGGGAATGTGACTTAGTGGTAGGTGGCCTGTCTGACACTCTTGAGGTCAGGAGTTCAGTCCGGAGGTAGGGAGAGGAGGGCACTGACCAAAACAAACAAGCAAAACACCTTCTGTAAACCACTCTTAACTGCATACAAAGCACAAAAGGGCAAGCAGGATTATTTCCACTTTCGCAGAGCCTCAGGTTAAGCAACTTGTTTGCCAGCCAAGGGAGCATAGAGACACAACTCCACTTCAGAAACCAGGTGCTGTAGTTCTGTCCTTCCTCGCATTACCCATGCATTTCCTGTCCCTCCGATTTGCTGGGACTCTGGGATCAGTCTTGTGCAACTCTCTGAATTTGGAAATTTGAACTGTTGATCGCAATGCACTAAGCTTTGAAAAGTTTCTTCACGGTCCTTGCAATAGGGGGTGGCGATTCTGTGAACTCTGCTTTTGTTTTGCTCTCCATACCAGCCGGAGGCCAGCAGGAACAAAATCCTAAATACTGAAGGTAAAACTTGACAGCAAAGATCACGAATCCCTTCCTGCAGGCAAGATGAATGCTCTAAATAGACAGCAAATGCAGCCCACTGGCACAACTGCTTATGTATTTACAAGACCTAGTGCTTTCTTCATTTCTTAATTGAGCAAGGTATTATTGGAGATCTGTTCTGTCACGTGCTGACTACTGTGACATCAATAAATCACACAGACTGTCCCTGCAGAGAACAGTTTCCAAACAAAAGCAGATGCCGTGCAACTCATCATATACCCAAACGTGGTTAGGAACTGCAGTGACTGCTGGAGAGGAAGGGATGGCATTTTGTGGGAGCAGAGAAGCCTGAGTGAGTTAACCAGATTGCGTGGCCTGTGGGCTTTGGGGAATGATAAAGGACAGCAGTACTGATAGTGAGGTCTTTGGGGAAAGTTTTTTGAAGCAAGGAACATTTTTTTTAACCTCTCACCCCACCCCAAAACATAAGGAAAGAAAAATAACAAAAAAGTTCAGGCTTGCTGGCATAATGACTCATTTCTTTAATCCCAGCACTCCAGAGTCAGGGATTGTAGATCTCTGTGAGACTGAGGCCAGCCTTGTCTACAGAATGACATAGAGAGCCTCAAGCCAGCCAGAGCCATTTAATGAGATCCTGTCTCAAAAAGGGGGGGGGGAGGGGCAGGAACCTATTAAGTTTGAGACCAGCCTGGGCTACTTGAAATCTTGCTTCAAAAACAAAAACAAGGAAAGGGCGATAAGGTAGCTCAGGAGGCGCCTGCCATGCAAGCCTGGTTGCCAGTGTAAAGATGGAAGGAGAGAACTGACTCCATAAAGTTTTCCACTGACCTCCATACGTGCACTGAGGCACACATGCCCTCTACATACATCATGAGCACTCATACATACAGCAGCAATTTAAAAATAAGTAAATTCCTCCTCACAAAAAACAACACACAGAATTCAAATATGATAAGGAATTAATACCCAGATAGCCAAGAAACTGAGGGACCAAAAAAAAAAAAAAAAAAAAAAAAAAAAATCTGATTTGAAAATGGGGCAAGCTACTTGGTCATACTAACCATATCACCAAGCTTTGGGGCCAACTGAGCGACCCTTTGTAAATGAAAAAGTCAAAAGCGACAAACAAAAGACTCCTGTCTTCAACTTTGGCTCTCCAAACATGTGTGTGCACATTTGCCCAACGAATGCACACACGCATGCACATACCATACACACATGAGAAAATGTGAGGAGAGGGGAACTCTTACACACTCACTGTCCCTGGGAATATAAGTTAGTGCAGCTATGATGGGCACCGAACAAGAGTTTCTGGAAAGAAGCTGATGGATTTGAACTGCAGTGATGTGGAGAGGTTGGGGTGTTACAGGCCCAAAGCCTAATTATAATTTATCTTGGGCTAAAGTTAACCCCCCAACAGCTATCCCTCGCTTGCCTCTGCTGCAGACCTGGCACCCTCTGACTAACAGATACAATTGGTTTGAATCTATTGTACTTAGCGGACCACTAGCTTCCACCACCCAGATTCTCTAGAGCTGGAATTCTCTCTGCACTAATGCTCAAGACAACAGACTCAGAACCAGATTGCACTGGCCCCTGCTGATGCTGCCAAGCTGAGCACCATGCCAGAAGTGTGTTTGTCTGCTGGGATGGTCTAGGCACTGTTGTTGCCTTTCAGGCAGGAACAGAGGAAAATGGAGACTAAAGGTTCCGTTTCTCTAAGGAACCGCTAAAACACTCAGGGCGAGGCCCGTGTGGCTAAGCAAGGCTCCTGGTCCCACCAGGGGGAGGTGGAAATGAGTTTCCACTGGGTGTTACAGTTAGCTGTTTTGAATGGAGTTGCTGGTATCAGATGGTGGTGGGATGCAGGAGTTCCCAAAGCCTGTGACAATACTGCAGCGCTATAGCCCTTTGGTTAAGCTGCTGTGTTAACGGCTCTGCTGGCCAGAAGGTTGGTCCTGTAAAGTGCGGGCCCAGCAGGTCCAGGTCTGACAGGTGCTTCACTGGCACTGAACACCAAAGTCTTAGCCATTGCCAAGCAGGCTCCAGAGGTGACCGAGGCAACTATGACCACTGGCTGTCAGCCAAGCCCTGGGAGTTGTGCAGCAAAATTTCAGGGAGGAGAGGAGCCCTTACTTCCCCAGAATAAATGACAAATCTCAGACAGTGGTGGTGAAAAGCTGATGGTAGCAGCCAGCATGTTTATTTCCTGTGAAGTCAGAGACTTATAAACCTTGGGCAATGGGAGGGGTTTTGAGGGTGAATGTGTTTGATTTGCTGGGGCTAGGGTGCCAGGGAATCTTGTTTACATACAGTAATACAGTCCTATCAGAAGACGGGGAAAGTAGTACTTAATTATCCTATGAGTGGGTGGGAGAAAACTTCAGGTTGAAAGCCAAGGCATCAAGACATCACATTAGCATAGGGTGGGTGTTCCCAGGAATCCTCGGGTGACTGCTGAACTGGTTCTTATCAGGAAAGGGTTGGGTTTGTGATCTCCCTGAGGGCTATTGTGATGCTCCTTAGAAGATCTGGGGTTTCCCAGATGAAGTGAAGAGGGAAAACACCTGAGAAAAGGAGTTTGTCACCATGTGCCAAGCTCAGAGGCTATCCGGAAACGTGAGACTTCAGCCTTTGGCAAGTGTCGCATATTAGACGAGCCTCAGTGGGAAAATAGACATCAAAGAGGTCTGAATTCTGGTTTCAAATTTACCATCAGTGCAGTTATGTAACCTCATGACACCACTGTATCCAGATTTAGCCTAGATACCCTCTGAGGAGAAATTCTTAAATGCACATCTTGATTTCTGAGCTACTTGGTATTCTAAGAACGCCAGAAGCAGCACAGCCCCTCCAACCAGCCTGACTCCCGGTACAGCGAGCCTATTATACTTAGCAGACCACTAGCTAAAAAAAAAAAAAAAAAAAAAAAAAATCCTTTGGAGGTCACCGAGGGTGACAACGGTCCCTGCCTCACATGGAAACTGAAAGGGCTGGTCATGATAGCACTCTAATTCCAGCACTTGAGGTGCTAAGGCAGGGAGACTGCTGTGAGTTTGAGAGTGTTCATGGCCACATGGCCAAACCCTACCTCAAAAGGCAAAAGCTAAAAGCCCAATGTCATCACCCGTAAAATAAACGTGATAGGTGCTATATAAAATATTTGACTGTGAGGGGAGAGACTGAGAGGAGAGGAGGGGAAACTTTGGTCAGGATATAAACAAACAAACAAATAAGTAAAAATTTAAAATATTTGGCTGTACACTTCACAATGTACACATATGTCAAATCACTACATTTTATTTCTTTAAAAAGACTTTTGTATCTGTGTATGTGCATGTATGCAGATACTAAGTTCAGAATAAGCACTGGATCTTGTAATTAATTTTTTCTTTTCTTTTCTTTTCTTTTCTCTTTTAGCTTTTTGAGACAGAGTTTTACTGTGTAGCCTTAGCTGTTCTGAAACTCACTCTGTAGGCCAGGCTGGCCTTGAACTCAGATATCCACCTGCCTCTGCCTCCTGGGTGCTGGGATTAAAGGCCTGTACCACCATGCCTGGCTCAAAGTAGTTACT